GCTGTGACGCGCTGGCGGCGCGTGCTCTACATCCACCTGCGCCGTGCCGTGGAGCGCGCCCACCACGCCGCGGACTTGGATGCAGAGCACGCGCCGCCAGCGCGTCGTCACAGCCTTCTTACTTCAATGGTCACTGTGGAAATTGTCGTTGGTCGCGTCCGCGAAAATAGTCACTGGCCGCTGCGGGCTGGGCTGCAGCCAAGAGGCTGCGGGACCGCCCCGAGCGCCACGCCCTGCCACGGCATACAGGACATGAGCCCCGTCCCGTTTGAGCCCCGATGGTCTGAGCCCGGACTTGAGCCCCAACTTGAGCCCGAGTTGAGCCCGAGTTGAGCCCCGCCTTGAGCCCCGACTAGAGCCCCAATGTCCTGAGCCCCGGCCAGAGCCCGGGTAGAGCCCCGATCTGCGCCCGGTTTGAGCCCGGGCTTGAGCCCCGACCCGAGTCCCAATTTCTAGAGCCCCGACCTGAGCCCGGATTGAGCCCCGACACGAGCCCCCTTTGAGCCCCGACTTGAGCCCCAAAATGCGGAGCCCCAGTAGAGCCCCGACTTGAGCCCCGATTGAGCCCCGATTGAGCCCCACGCGAAAGGGGCCGTCAATAAACCACCTGATCGATAAAAGATTTTATGAATGCCTTCCCCGCCCCGCTGAAAACATACCACACATGAACATTTTCGGAATCGGCGCTACAAGGTCCTTTCGCTCGCGTGCTTCCTGGACGCCAGTTGGTGCTGCTCCAGGTGCGCTGCGGGACCTTCTTGGCGTCCAACAGGAACGTCGCTCAGCCAGGCCGTGACGCAAGAGAGTGTAAAGTTACCGGGGTGTTTTCGGAATCGGAACTACAAGGCCCTTTCGTCGCGTGCTTCCTGGACGCCAGTTGGTACTGCTCCAGGTGCGCAGCGGGACCTTCTTGGCGTCCAAGAGGGAGCGTAGCGTGCACGAGGGCGAAGTCGGATTCAGGGCGAGGGACGTGTCCACCTGTAAAGGTGAGCTACAACAGCCAAATGCTGCTCACGGTGCTTCGCCTTGCGTGGAGTAGCAAGCAGCCAATACACGAACGTGCGTTGGGCTTTTTGTTCCGCTTTTCTTTACTTTCCGCTAGCAGCTTGATGATAATTAAAACAATTTCTCCCTTCACCCGCGATGTGCAGCTTGGATAGAAGCCTCTCGCCGCCTCGCAGCAAGGCTGACCATTCCTGACCACGCGCGCCTGTGTTGGATTGGGTAGGCCGCCAGCTGGACAGGTGCGTCCGGCGGGTTTGCCTACCCTGGTCTTCGCAGGCGCTCTGAAGTCGAAGGGGGATCCGCCCTCTGCCGTGGCCATGACCCTTCCAACCTGAGCGCTTCCGTTTTCTGCAAGCGTGTTCAAATCTTTGGTTGGCGCTTTCCCTGTATTTTGCCTGCTCACTGTTACAGGGCTCCTCCTCCATATAGCCAGTTGGAGTCATTGAGTCTGAGCTGGCTTGACGTCTCGGAGGGCACTCGTCATCGCGAGAACCTTCAAGGCGGTGGGGACAACGCCACAGAGAGGTCTACGACGAAGCCCATCTGGCACATCGATAAAATTGGCCTTTTCGATGCTCCACAAAGCTTCGACGTGACAAGGTAGTAAAAAAAAACTTGGAAACAAAAATAAACAGCATTGAAACTTTCTTTATTGACAAAAGCGTACAAGAGTGAAAGAAGCACAACCTGGCACGGGGAAACATGAAGAGAGTAAAAAGGAAAGACACTTGGAGTAATCACATACTTTCGAGATTCGTGTCCGGCACTCTAAAACGAACTGCCAGAAAGACTACCCCTGTTGTCTGTTAATGGTGCTGTTGTCTGCACATCCAGCTATCGTCACATGCCGCAGACCTGCAACAAAAAAGGGTACCCTTACCAATTGTTCACCAAGAACCAATATAAAAAGTGGCCGGACCGTGCCGTGGCCACTCATGGGCACTAACCCCCTTCCCCTTAAAATGATGACTTAATATTGGCACGCCAAAGAAGGTTGCGCCTCCACACAAATCAGTCGATGCAATGCAAATTTGGTTTACCGAAGCCGTGACCTCGGAGACAGGAAACTGGTCAGGCCGAGGCCCGACCGAGAAACCATCACCCGGACAGTCAACAAACACCTCGCTAACCCAAATTTGTCCAAACTCCCATGCGAATACAATAGGGGGGGGGGGGGGGGGGGGGGGGGGAAATCTCTTGGATGAAATGAAAATTTTGGGTTTTACCGAGGCCGTGACCTCGGAGACAGGAAACTGGTCAGGCCGAGGCCCGACCGAAAAAACCATCACCCGGACAGTCAACAAACCCTCGCTAACCCAAATTTGTCCAAACTCCCATGCGAATACAATAGGGGGCGGGGGGAGGGGGGGGGGGGTAATCTCTTGGATGAAATGCAAATTTGGTTTACCGAGGCCGTGACCTCGGAGACAGGAAACTGGTCAGGCCGAGGCCCGACCGAGAAACCATCACCCGGACAGTCAACAAACACCTCGCTAACCCAAATTTGTCCAAACTCCCATGCGAATACAATAGGGGGCGGGGGGAGAGGGGGGGGTTAATCTCTTGGATGAAATGCAAATTTGGTTTACCGAGGCCGTGACCTCGGAGACAGGAAACTGGTCAGGCCGAGGCCCGACCGAGAAACCATCACCCGGACAGTCAACAAACACCTCGCTAACCCAAATTCGGTGTGAGCGCCTGTCCAAGAGCTTTCTGAAGCAGGTTCCCTATAGACGGCCAAACAATCTAGTGGCTATTACAGGAAATAAAATAAATTAAAGAAAGATTGCGTCTTTGATTACACATGACTGCCACTAAGTTGATGACGGTAGGGTAGGGTTACCTGGAATATGATGGTTTGCATCGCTGAACACCTGTCATCTTCATAGTTTGAGACTTCGTACGACGACTAGGTTAACTGTCGAGACAGGAAGGCAGCTGATCGTTAGGGCCAGTCTGAAACCACAGAAAACTTCACATTAGACACTGTATTTCACACGACACTGTTGCACTGTTGAAGAAAATGGACATTTTTACCTTTAATTTGTTGCCAGAACTTACCGTGCTCTGCTGAGAGCCAGGCGATATTTCATGACTACAGGTCCAGATTTTTGCCATTGTTTGAAAGCCAAATATTTCCGGAAATGAAAATGATTTGAGGCTCAAACGAGCTAAATTTTCGTGTGGGTGCAAGATACAACGATTTTTGGCACGATTGATGAAAAGGTGAAAAATCAACTATGTGGAAATGGCACATTGATGACGGAAATGGATTCGTCTCAACGAGATGAAAAGAAATAAACCCATAGGTCATAAGTTTAGACTCGACTTTGGCGGAGCTACAGAGTCCAACAGGTCGGTTTTAGGGTGTGGCAGAAAAAGCATGCTAAAAGAGGAATGTTGAAAACACTCTTTCGACAGAGTAAAAGAGTAACTCCACCCCAAGGTGGACCGAGATCTGGGATTGGGTCACGGATTCGGTTCAAACTTTGTTGGTTCAATAGGCACCACTAGGACCTATCAACCCTAAAAGGAGAGTTGGCTAGCTCAATCAAATAGAACCTGATATATTTGCATTTTTCTAAATTTGACTAATTTAGCGTAAAAATGTCGCTTTCTGATTTTTTTTTTACGGTAAAAGTTGTTTGCTGAGTTCTGGCTTATGTTTCCTCTTTCTAGTCATAAAAAAAAGAAGAAGAATTGTGGTAGGCCAAGTTTTGTACGTTGCTTGGTTTGGCCTACACGAGCAATTTTGTCCAATTCATCGAAACTCTCATACCCAAAATACTCCACCTTGGATTTGACCCTGGTATGTCTCACTGAGTGGAGTATTTTGGGTATGAGAGTTTCGATGAATTGGACAAAATTGCTCGTGTAGGCCAAACCAAGCAACGTACAAAACTTGGCCTACCACAATTCTTCTTCTTTTTTTTATGACTAGAAAGAGGAAACATAAGCCAGAACTCAGCAAACAACTTTTACCATAAAAAAAAAATCAGAAAGCGACATTTTTACGCTAAATTAGTCAAATTTAGAAAAATGCAAATATAGCAGGTTCTATTTGCTAGCCAACTTTCCTTTTAGGGTTGATAGGTCCTAGTGGTACCTATTAAACCCACAAAGTTTGAACCGAATCCGTGACCCAATCCCAGATCTCGATCCACCTTGGGGTGAAGTTACTCAAAAGCACTACGTCCTTTGGAATCTAGATTCAAATGCCTTGTGTTTTTCTGTTTTATGAAAGATTTATGAAGTGAGCAACAGAATTAGTTGTATGAAAAATTCTACAGCCCCGTCAGGGGAGGGGAGAGGGGGACAGAAGGGAGGAGGAAGGAGGGGGAGGGGGCTGATGTCTTTGTTTTGTTTTGTTTGAAAAAAAAAAATTTCCTCATCGAGCCTCGAACACTTTTTTACGTCTTCCCTTTGAGCTGTCAAAAGAAATGCCTTCCAGTGCGTGCGAATCAGAATCAGTAGTCGAAAGCGAGTTTTACGAGCCTAGGCTGAACTGCTCGCCCTTCCAAACGTCCACACTGGTGGTTCACAAAGTTGCTCGTGCCCTCTCGCTGAGTAAGATGGCAAGTAATGCCCTTTTCGTCTTGATTTTCCTTGCACGGCTCTAAGTCGCTTTATTTTTAACCGTCCTGTAGCTTTTCGCCTCCCGAAACACGCTAAGGCTATCCAACGAACCTATAGACGTAATAGGTTATGTTTACCATAGATCTGAGCACCTGGTTGTGTTTTATGCAATACTTCTTTCCTATCTTAAAGTTAACAAATATTACATGTATATTTTAATATTCTCTTTTAAACAGTACCATATCGCATTCAATGATAACAGAAATGCGATCTAGTTTGTCTTGGGGCTGAAAACTTTCATGAATGATTACTGGTTATCATTTCTCTAAATATATCTTCTCACCAAGTTGCCTAGCTCACTAAAAATTTTCCTGTTAGTGTGGACTTTCATGTGTTTCTTCTTTTTTTGTTTTACCCAGGACTGTGATATGGTGTTGGTGGGTTCATCATCACTTCACCGTCCAAACTTTGCTTGCTGTGACCACTTCTCGCACAACAGGCTACCTTTGTTGTGAAACTGGATCGGAAAGCTTTGTTGAGATGACGGTAACCATGCTCAAAGGCAGATGAGTTTTAATTTTAGCTTATAGTTAACTTTAAGAAATACCACTTTTGGGGGGCATTCTTACATTTGTCTGTGTGCTCATGTTTATTTCAATATAGAATGGATATAACTATTTGGTTTCAATGTTTGTTTTAAATCGCTGAACATACTCTATTAACTTCACATTTACTTTGTCCATTTTGCTCTGGTCTGTTCTATAGATGGCCCTGGTGCATCGTATGCTGCTGTAATGACAGATGAGCTGCATCCCGCATCCATTGGACTCGAGCAAAATTCAATTTAATTCTCAGATACGACCAACATTTCTTCAGAGAACAACCTAATGATGTCAGGTAAGATCTATGTGTGAGTTAATGAAAATGGGTGAACAGGAACTGAGTTGGAAAGGTCAGGAGGAGGCGGAGGGGTGGGGGGAGTCACCCTGGAAGCATGGGCAAGCATGAGGTTTTCACTTTCCGAGAATTACTGTACCATTCCGGGGATTGCGGTTAATTAATTTCTGAGGAGTTTGAGTGAAAGTATAAAATTAACCAAATTGACATCTCTTTATAGACTTTGATTCCTCTCAACAAGACAAACAAAAAATGTCTTCACTTGTCAATGGTTTGGGTGAGAAATAGAAGAGTTATTGAGCTTCCAAAGTTCTAAAGGTGTTGCATTTTGGACACCTATTTGAAAGTTGGAAGCTCAATAACGCTTTTCTTTCCCATCCAAGCCCACGACTTGTGTTGACCTTTCTTGTTTCTCTTGTAGAGAAGAATGAATTTCTCTGAAGTGAAGTCAGTTTGATCGATTTTAAAAACTCACCCAAACTGGGGTGACATTTCCTTTTTCCCATTCAAATGTCAGAAACCTTGAAATCAGTTAAACTCGAACCAGTTATGCACGTTGGTATGAATTTTGTAAAGCTGAGCTCATATCGAAGGTAGGAGACTGGATAGTTACACTGGTCAAATAAACATAATGCATAAGTTGTCACAATAGCCCGTTGAATCCAGGGAGTTGTATTGTAGAATGTGTATGGCCTGATTTGTCCTATCTTACTCCCCCACTATTATACTGATCATGATCTTGGAAATTGCGCCCCAAGTGATGACTTAGAAGGTATAAAGGGATCATATTCCGTATCTTGCTTTTTTTGGTGTTTGCTGCTTAACTTTGCCATGTGAGCATCACTATTGTTTCATTCCTATTTAAAGTAAAGATGTTTTAGAAGTTGCTTGTGTTTCTTTCTCCTCAAGCGTAATGGAAGGTTTTGATCACCCTTTCTACGTAAAATAGAGTGCGTTCATTCTGTTTTATTTGTTTGGTCAGGCTGACGAGACACAGAAAATGAATGACTGCTGACTGTTTCAAGCAGAATCTGCAATTCTGTGCTGTCATTTATTTTCTGTGTCTATTCAACGTCAGCCTGACCAAACACTATTTCTTGTAGTATTTATTTTGTTTAATGTGTAATTTGCCTTCTTTTCTAGGTATATTCCTGGTGCCCAGTCTTTTGAGGGTCCTTTGCCGGCCATTGAAGCTGACATGTATTCCTCAAAATCCAAGTGCAACTCTTCTTTGTTTCTGGTTGGAGCATTGCAATAAGGATAAGAAGGTACGGCAGATTAAACTTGCTCTTCTATTTGAAATGGAATGATCTCCAAGACAGCTGTTTCACTGTGTTCCAATTACTCTCTACCTTTTGCTGTATACATTCTTTTTACCTTCTCATAAGTTTTAATGCTCAAAGAAAATCCTATGATGACGATTGTGGCAGACACATGCTGCCACAAGTATGTGGTAGATATTGATTGTTGTTATTATAGCTGTTTAATCTGGTTTTAATTTATTTTTTTATTTTTTGTGGATCACTTCATCTTAAATTACAGAGCTGTTTCAATTTCTTAATCATAATCACCCTGGAAAACCTTTTTAGCACCACGGGAAAGGGAATCTAACTTTCTAATGTCTTCTTCCAAAGATAAACAGAGTCGAGAGCTGGTATTGCGAGAAGTCTTCTGTCAAAGTCCTTCAGCACAGATTTTCGATTCACTCTTTCATAGTAACGATATGTTGGGGCAATCCATGGGGGCAACTCAGTAAGGGTTCTAGGAACAGTTTATGTAGAATATTACCGCCATATTTTGTACAGCCCTAAATTGGAGCTTATGCTCCTTGGGCAGCCTGGACTAATAAATTAAAAAAATAGTCCTGTTAATTTATTTGTTTTTATTATGTGTTATCTTCGCCAGTCTTACCTAGCGGATATTTTACTGTATTTTTAAAGCTTGTGCTTTTCCTGCTCAGTGGTCTAAAACTGATGATAATCTTTTTCTTTTTCTTTCCTAGGGCTGAAAGCTTCAAGGTCCTGAGAACTGATGACCCCACTCGTGTTGATTGCCGCCACCCTTCAGAAGAAAAACCCCTACAACTTTCTTTGTGACTACAGTTTGCTGGCTTTTGTGGCAACAAAGTGAGATATCCCATCACATTTATGTTAGTGTATGTGGTGGCAAGCTAGTCCCTGCCAGTCCAATTGTTTGGATGAAATTTCAAAGAAGGGCATTCTGAGTTTATGAAGTACGCTTTCAAAACTTTTCATTGAAGGCAGATTTGTTTTTCTTTCAATTATGTCAAGACGCCCTGGGATTACCTAACTAAAATGCTTAGAGTTTCTCATCGGAACAGTTTCTGGAAATGACTGCACTGTGTGCATATTTATATAGTCTGAGAGTCAACCTGCTACAACCGAGTTAGTTATCAAACTTCCTGAGTTTATGGACCCTGTAGCATTTAATTTTGTGAGTCTGTTTGAAATTTCTATAATTTTAAGAAATATGGTTCTACTGTGTACTTGAATTTTATTGTGGGAGTTCTACATGATGAGTGTACTTTATCAACAATCAGAGTTGGGCCCTCGCTTGGAAAATGGTGCACCAGCTTCTTACGCTTGCAATTAAAACTGGCTGTATGCTTTAGGCACAGTGTATAAATTTCCTTGTCTTCTACATGCAACAGCATAATGCTTCAATCATAACCTAACCCATGCCTTACAATTAAAATCTTTCTTTTTTGTTTCAGGTGCATAAAATGAGAGGAACCGATGGAACACTGTCTACTCAAAACTACTTGAATCATCCGACCATTGCAGGATGAGCCTGTTGATCTGCTGTAGGCGTAATCATGTGAGTACGTACAGGATTCCGCTAAGTCAGATATAATTTGCAAGAAGTTTTTTTTATATGTATTCACCTAACGAATGTCAAGTCAACTCGTAATCACATTACGAATGTCAAATGAACTTCTAGCTTTTGCAATGATTGTCCAAACAATGTCCACCACAGGGCAAGTTTTAGTCGTAGGTCTTGCCAGATGCCATTTTGAAGAAAAATGTAGGAAGCTGTTAAATGTTTACTTTCCAAACAAAGACTGGGACTAAGTCAGTTTTATAATTGATTCAATACTCCAGGACTTATTTCATACAATGTCCTACTTATACATGACTGTTTCTTTTTAACCGTTTTCCATATGGTTACTTTTCTTTATTTCCAAGGCGGTCTTACATTTGGCGTTCTCTTATTTGATGCAAAGTTAACGCTAAGATATATGGGCTGGCTTTATGGGACTATTAAGCTGAGTTTTCCAAACCTTTGTTTCAGCTTTCTTAAAAATTTTTGTCCTTATGTTGCAGGCGACAGGTGCTTTGCAGACAAACTGGCGCAGTGCTGAGTGGAGAGACTGCCAGCCCTAGCTGAACTGGACTAACATTGATGCACTAATTTAGACTGAAGTGAGTATAATCAAAACCATTGTCTGAAGCTTTGAACTTAAGCAGATTTGAATTTTGATACAGTTTATTGTTTCAATTCGTGATTCTTTTGCCATTGTTTGTTACATCATTTGTTATTCAAAGTCATCACAAAATAGTAACAGAAAGTCAATTAATAGTGATTAAGTTTTAATTCAATGTTTAGAATGAGACTAATTGTATTTTGTCTCTGTGATTCAGGTGCCATAAGCATGACATTTTAAAAACTTATTAATTATTGGCTGTTGTGAGTGATGTGAGTTTCTTTAGTTGCAGGTCACACAAGATATCATCCCAGCGTAAATGTGGACACAATGACTGGACAGTGTCATCGGTGCTGCAGCAACTATATTGGAGTATTTTCCTACATTACTTTTTCTGTATTTGATTCATGTAAGTATTGAATTTGCCTCATCAAAAAAAATGTGCTTTGCTTATAGTGGGTGATGAAACAGTATGAGAGATTGGATACAATCATGGCAGTGGTGCTGGTAATACCACTGTATCACTTTCTCTGGCATTCGTCTGTGTATGTTGAAGTCTAGGCTGTTGCATTTGGATTTGTGTCACCCATTGTGTTAATTTATTTTTTTTGTGTGTGATTTTAGGTTTCAACGAGTACCTTCGTACCTTCATCATCTCAAGGCCTCATCATTGGGATGGAGTCAGGCCAATTGGTTTTTGCCAAGAAGCTTAAGCTTTAAAAAAGTGTTCTAGTGTTCTAGTGTTCTAGTTCTAGTAGTCACTAGAAGAGATACCTTTGTGGGTAGTATTGGCGTGGGCTACCAAGTTATTTAATTGGCTGCTCACTGGCTAGCCTGATCACATCGTGCCTGTCCTGGAGGTGTGACTGCTCAGCATACGTTATTGTTATGCTAATTTTATTTCTTTGAGCGATGGTAGAGGAGGCCACCTTTTCTCTCAATTTGTTACTTATGTGGTTGTGTTGAATGTGGATCTTCAAATGTTTTTTTGTGTTTCGATGTTCGAATGTACCTTTTTTTGTGTTGGAGCAAATAAATGTATGCATGTGCAACAACTTTGCTGCCCCTCTTGTAAATACACATAAGTGTGTCAAAATGTACTAAACTTGTGAATCATTCCTGAATCTGAAATAATCATTGTCTGCAGGCACTTGGATCATTATTGGTTTGAAAATCTGCCTTGGGTAACTTTTCTTTTGTTGTAAATAAGGAAACGAAGTTTATTCAAAATATATATGGTTTTAATCAAACAGTTTCAGTTACCAGTTAATATTATCCTTTTATACCAAAACCACAATGTTCATTGGATTAACTTTTGAACATGAAATAGCATGGGAGGGTACTTTTAATGCTACACTGATTGTCAGAAAAATAGAAGTAACAACTAACGACAGAAAATTACAAATACATATTGAGTTCATAAAGTTGGCATAAAGTCAGCTCTGGCTGAAAAGTATCACGAAAAGTAGGCCAGTGGCACTGATTTCTTTTATTGTAGATAAGGAAACTAAGCTTCTTCAAAATATATATATGGTTTTAATCAAACAGTTTCAGTTACCAGTTAATATTATCCTTATCAAAACCACAATGTTCATTGGATTAACTATTGAACATGAAACAGCATGAATGCTGCACTGATTTTCAGAAAAATAGAAGGAACAAGTAATGACAAAAAATTACAAATACATATTGAGTTCATAAAGTTGTCAGCTCATAGAGTAGTAACAACAATCACCATGAAAATTGAATCAGAAATCAAAATCAAAATTGAAAAGTAAAAAGGTTCTACATCTCAACGTTAGAGCAATGGTAAAAAAAAGAAACTTGATTGAAAACCTTCTAATAGATAAAAAACCTGATGTAGCTGTGATAACAGAACACTGGATGAAGAGGGATGAAATAAAACTGCTATGTCTTAAGGACTATTCTAATGTATCAAACTTCTCTCGAGAAAATGGTTATGGTGGGGTATTAATTCTTGTAAATAAAGAAATTGAAAAGTACACATCCTCTAGTCAATCAATCTGTGATAGCTCGATAGAGCATGTAATTGAAATGGCTGCTGTTAAAATACGGCACCCCAACATTTGCCTGAATATTGTGGGAATATATAGACCCCCAACAAATGATAATATGATTAACTTTGACTCTGCAATGGACACATTACAGAATGTCTTACTAAACTCAACTCAAACTAAAACGGTAATCTGTGGTGATTTTAATATTGATGCACTATCTGATAATGATAGAGCTAAATGTTTTAATGAATTAATAGAAGCAAGTAATTTTAAATTGATGTTTAGGGAACCAACTAGGGTAACCCAAGCTACTAAGACATGTATTGATAATATACTTATAAATTTTAGTGAAAAAATCTCTGATTATATGACGATGGAAAACTATGATCCACACATATCTGATCATAACGTACAGATTCTGAAATTCCAATATGTGATTGAAAAGAATGAAAAGAAAGTGCAAATTGAGACAAGAAAAATTAACGAGAGTACTATTGAGCATCTAAATGTGGAATTATCAAAGGAAACATGGGAAACTGTTTTTCAGAGTGGGGATACTGATACTGCCTATAATGAGTTTATAAGTATTTTTGAATATCATTTTAACAGACTCTGCCCTAAAATCTCTAAAGAAGTAAAAAAAATTTAAAGATAAACCTAAATTTGTATCTAAAGAGACCTATGAATATAAAAATACTTTGGATACCATTAATCTTGCAATCAATAATAATATTGGGGATACCTCTGCTCTAAATGAAATACGGAAAGAGGTAAGAAAACAATACAGAAAGCAGGTTAATAAGGATACTAAACAATCAAACAGCCAAAGAATCAACAATTCTAACAATGTAACCAAGGAGACTTGGAAAATAATAAATGAATTTAAAAAAAACTGATAGAGGTTACAAGAATATAAATGAAAGAGCTTTAAAAGAGCTTTCTTATGGATAGGAGACAATGCGTGGAGGCATTCACTTTTGTTATTTTGTCACTCAAATGAGGTCAGAGCTCATTGTGAGTTCTCCGTTCTTCTTGGGACACGGTGTAAGGTAGCCAGGCGAGCTGATCGCCGTCGAGATGCTCGTACAGGGGGGGTCTCCTCCATGCTACTTCGTGCCCGCTTGACGGGAGGGGCTTCTTCGGACTCCGTTCCGGACATGTCGACGAGGGTTTCCCCGACGACCTCGACTGTCTGGACGTCCTCTCTGGTCTGGACGGCCTCGACTGTCTGCACGGTCGCGACGTTCTCGATGGTCGTGTTCTTGTCTTCGGCCGCCACCACTGCCGCCTTCCTTGCTGCTTCGACCTCCATAGCTCTCCTCTGTCTCCGCCTTTCGAGGTTGTTGGGCCGCTTTTTGGGCTTTGAGGATGAAGCGGATGAAGACGCACCGCTGGCCCCACCGTCGGCTACGTCCGCTGCCATGGGCTCCTTGGCCTCCTGCCTCGGCTTTGAGGATGAAGCGGATGAAGACGCACCGCTGGCCCCACCGCCGGCTACGTCCGCTGCCATGGGCTCCTTGGCCTCCTGCCTCCTTCTCGAGTCTTTGCCCTTCCTGGCCCTACGTCGCATTACATTGACGGTAGCGGCAGCAGGTTCTATGTGTGGATCCATCGGCACCACCGTGTTGGCGACAGCGACCTTCACTGTGACGGCGTCGACCGTGGCGTCGGTCCTGGCGACGGTCTTGGCGGTAGCGGCAGCAGCCTGCAACTGCACCACGGCGTCGGGGACAGGGACCTTCACTGTGACGGCGTCAGCCCTGGCGGTAGCGGCAGCAGCCTGCAACTGCACCACTGCGTCGGGGACAGGGACCTTCACTGTGACGGCGTCAGCCCTGGCGGTAGCGGCAGCAGCCTGCAACTGCACCACTGCGTCGGGGACAGGGACCTTCACTGTGACGGCGTCAGCCCTGGCGGTAGCGGCAGCAGCCTGCAACTGCACCACTGCGTCGGGGACAGGGACCTTCACTGTGACGGCGTCAGCCCAGGCGGTAGCGGCAGCAGCCTGCAACTGCACCACTGCGTCGGGGACAGCGACCTCCACGGCGTTGGCCTTGGCGCCAGTCCTGGTGGCATCCTTGTTGGCATCCTAGGGAAAAGAGGTTGGGTATGTGCAGTTCACCGATAATTTCGCCGAGCCCGAACCCGTCTCCGGGAGGACAGCCGCCTTGCCCACCTTGTCCACTGAACAATCTTTCCGGCGCCCCTCTTTTTCAAATTGAAATTTTGAAAAACCGTTTTATGGTTTTGTTGTTAGTGATGTTTAATTCAAGAAAAAGTCACTAGAACTCAAATCCGAGGTGTGAAATTTGGGGCCCCGGATAAACTGGCGTGGAATGCCCCTGTTTCAGATTCGTTTACACTTACCACTCCCCATCTTGGTTTGATCGAAGAAGGTGTATACCTCGAAAGAAAACAATTACGCATCGGAAGGAAACAGTTACGAGGAGGACTGGGACTGCCCTCGTCTTCACTGTCAGAGGTAAGACAGTAAGGCACCAGCGGCTGGATGGTCGGAAATAGTCAAAATGCATTATTAATCATAATTTGGGCTAATGTAAACAAAATGAATGACCGATGCTTGTATCTATACTTACAGCAGTAGGTTTACAAGCGTGTGGAGGTGTCTCAGGGATCACCTTTCCCTGTGCCTCAAAGCAACTTCTCCCTTGGCTTTCATCTTCATCAGAGGAGGAGCAGTACACAATTTCCTAGAAAAGCAAATATGTAAGCAAATTTGAGGAATGAACTGCATGAACTGCCAATGGCTGCCAATAACTGACAGCGAACAACAACATGTGAGTACTCACATGTTGTTGTTCGCTGGCAGTTATTGGTGAGTACTCACATGTTGTTGTTCGCTGTCAGCTAACAGAGGAACTGATTCCACTTGGCTTCCCACTGGCAATGAGCACATTTCTTCCATCGATTGGGAGTTAAACAAATTCTGGAACAAGGGTTCGAATAAACTCAGGTGATGCTCCATGATTTTGAGCTTTTTCTTTCTCCGTTAAACTTATTTATGTGAATTTAAAGTTTCAAAAAATTGGTTGGTTAATGAGTTAATTTATTTGCTTGGCTCTGTTTCAAAATGATATCCTTCACTGATGTAGTTAAGAAAAAATGTTAGAGATCTCAAATGAGATAAAGAGTTTATCCAAAAAATTAAAATAAATTAAAACTTCTTCTTTTCATGGGTATTTTCCAGTCATCCTGAACTAATTGAAGCAAATTTGAGGAATAATGTGAGAGGACTTTCAGTGATACTCACAGGCTCCTCGCCACCGCCAACTACTCCACCCCCAGAATTTTCTGCAGAACCACTCTGTAACACAGATAAAACCACAATTTTGTTGTCATTACTGAACATAGAGGCACTGAGTTTGAACGAAAAGGCTGAATGAAGGTCCCCAAAAGATTTGCTGAATGATAACTGCTTTAAACCTTGTTTAAAAAAGAAAAAAAAGTTGGATTAGTTTTGCTCATCTTTGCTGTGTAAGTATCTTCCCCAATAATTGAAAGTACTAAGAAGCTCTCCGGGAATAAATTACAATTAAGCTTCAATACGTTGAGTTTCATCAATTGTGTGTCCACATTGACCACATCCCTTCAAGTTTTTAGTTACCTGGTACAGATGTTCTCCCGTTGGCATTGGTTCCAATGTGCTAGGGCAAAACTCATCACAAATGTTTGTCACTATTGACATTGGCGGGCTGGACATTGTCAAGTTGATGTCGTCACTATCTCCTTGATAGTCAATATTTGCCTGACAAGAAAAACAGTCAAATAATTCTATTTCTTGGTTCTTACTAACACTCTTATTTACAAGCCCTTGAATTAAGGTAGTCATTTCACTTACATTAAATGATCTGTTGGGTGATGGATCAGAAAAGCAACGAGAAAAGCTGGGAACACTAGGCAGAGAGCTGCATGTTGGTGTTGGGTCTATTTGCAAGACGGTTCCGCAGTCGCTGCTGTTGCTGCTGACACTGCTTGAGCTTCTCTGCACCGTTGGTGGGGAGTGAGGAAGGCAGCAAAGGTCTTCTTCGTCTTCTGAATTCTGTTATGCAATACAGGTAAAAACAGTTATCTTTGTTGTTTTGTCCTCTTTTATCTTCTTAAAGAGTTTATTTTTAAATTAAAGTGTTCTAAAAAAAAGTTATAATTAAACAGTAAATACATCCTTCTCATTCAATATTTGCCCGACAAGAAAAACAGTCAAATAATTCTATTTCTTGGTTCTTACTAACACTCTTATTTACAAGCCCTTGAATTAAGGTAGTCATTTCACTTACATTAAATGACCTGTTGGGTGAGGCAGAGATTGGTGGGGAGTGAGGAGGGCAGCAAGGGTCGTCTTCGTCTTCTGAATTCTGTTATGCAATACAGGTAAAAACAGTTATCTTTGTTGTTTTGTCCTCTTTTGTCTTCTTAAAGAGTTTTTTTTTTAAATTAAGTGTTTCAAAAAAAAGTTATTATGAAACAGTAAATATATCGTTCTCATTTTCTATCACCTGGTGTCAAAATTTGAGTGATGTCGCAAAGTAGGGACTTTAGACTGCATTGCTCTCTCAATTTTACAGAGTCTGACAGTGGTCCACAGTTGATTATTTGCAAAGGAATAATTATGGCTAAAAACAAGCATGGATTCAAACTGAAAGACTCTGCAAACCAAGACAATGCCAACAGTTTTAAATTAACCATCTGGGAACTTCATAAGTGAAATAAATGAAGGCATTAAGAAGAGGTGTCTTTCTAACAAAGACTCTAATGGCTCAGAAAGTCCTTTGAAATTCTTTTAAGTGAACTGACCCTGGGTGGTAGGAATGAGACTCTCTACCTTCAATTTAGGTAATATCAACACAAACAAAAAGACCTAAACTCAAGCTAGTACATTTGGTCTAAAATGTCCATGAAGTACTTGATTTTTATTTATTTTGGAGGAAGAGAAAAATCTCGATTTCTACAAGGGATAAAAATTTAAATATTGGTGACACTACTCCTATCATAAATAATACTGATTGTACTTCTAATTAATGATTCAAGAGCAAAATCTGAGATATGAAGGTGTAGGGAATGCTCACCGGTAAAGGAGTCTGGCCTCGGCCTCGTCCGCGGCGACCACGACCTGCTGGTCCTGTGGCGCGTCCCGGGAGACGGTGGTACATCTCGGCGAGTTCTTCCTGTCCTTGGGCTGGAGGGAGCTGTATCTGGTCGGGTGCCTCCCGTACATGGGCCGGTGGGAGGAAGATGCCTTGCGCAGACGGCAGTCTCATCTCCTGCAGCACCTCGTGGTGGTCGGGTGCCTCCCGTACATGGGCCGGTGGGAAGAAGATGCCTTCGGCAGGCGGCAGTCTTATCTCCTGCAGCACCTCGTGGTCAGCCGGTCGCCACCTCTCCGAGCTCTCGAACTCCGGAAAATCCCTTGCGTTTTTTTTAAACATTAGATGACCTTTCCGTCTCCTACTAGAAACTGATAGAGTACGCACAAATAGGTACCTGAACAGCCGCAGCATCCGCAGCCCACTTTCGCCTTCGTTCACCACCCACGTCTTTAGGAAGTTGGGTACGTCTTGGAAGGATTCCAGAGTCTCCTCCATGTTCTTGATGTAGTCAAGCCGTGTCTGAGTTCTCTCATTGTCTCTGCGTCGCTGAGCAGGGGTCATGGTCTTCAACGTGCGATCATACATCTGTTGCTCCTCGTCTCTCACTGTACCTGAAAACAAAATTGTGGTCCACTTATCCGGTCGCACAATATTAATGCACATTCAAAAAAAGTACACTTACTATGCAGCGACCAGAAGGCGGGGTGCTTGTGGTTTTTTCCATTGAACCACCTGTGTGTGCCCTCCAACGGCGAGGTAGTGGCCTGCAGAGGGTTCTTAAACACAGAGAAATCTTCTAGGAGCTGATCGTAATACTCTGTCTTGAAGTGCGTGAAAAATTTCAGAACTGCATCGCTCCAGACGCCTTTGGCCCGAAGGAACGGGACTATAATCAAGTTCACTGCCTTTCCGATGTACTCGAAGGGCAGCCTGGGAGTGAGTAGCAGCATGCGCACACCCAGTCGGAGTGACCTGCTGGAGTACATTAGCTGCTGCAGGCCGCAGTTGGAGTCACCGTAGGTGATCATGCCCTAAACATAGCAATGAGAACTGCAATTAAAACTGACATGTATGCGATGTCACTCGCATTTCGAGGAAAAAGTCAGAAATATACCTTGTAATAGTGGAAGAAGCAGTGCAACAGTTCGAAGTAGCGGTCATTTCCAAATACCTCTCGTAGGGCATTTCGTTCCGCATCTTCTTTGTCTGTCATCACTTGCCGCATGGTCAAGCCCTTGTCCTTAAGTGCCCTGAAAACCTCCCTGTAGGCGCTGGTGCTCTTGGCCTCCATCACGGCCCATGCTACTATGGTGACCTGAAACGTGTAAAACGCACATCAGAAAATACATACTTTTTTTACATTTTGTGAGTTTGGCCATTCAGATGCGGGCCAGCAACTCACTCGGCTGTAGTCCAGCACACCCATCCGCAGGATCTGCCGCGACGGCGGGTTGGCCGGAGCGCTATAGAACGTGGCGTCAACGAGGGTGGAGGTGTTCGGCCTGCGCACCGCCTGGTTGTGCCAATCAATGAGTCGCTGCGAAGCAAATAGGAGAGCCTGATGGCCAGGTAGCCCCGTCCTCTTGACAAAGAGGCTCTGCTTGCCGTCCAGGGTCAGGGCAAGATCACGAAATTCGCCATCCAGCTCTGCCACAACAGCAGGATAGCTGTCAGGCTCCCTTGGCTGCGCCCTTTCTGACCTCTTCTTCATGCACTCAAGGACTACCTCCACAAACATCCTCTCTCGGACCTCCTCTGGCAACCTGCAAAATAGTGGGTTAAATCATGTTTCAAAGAGGTCTAGGGGCCCGCAGGCAGCGGTTACGTGATCCAGTTACAGGACGGTGTCAGAGGGAACGGCCGCCATACCGCCGCGCCCCTGAACACAGCCACACCCACACCCACACACCAGCCCGATGGGTGGCCTAACCACCCGGCGCACCGCCCCCGCAGGCACGCACCGGCCCGCCAGTCGGCCGCGGCTACGTGCGCGGCGGCACGCGCCTATGACGCGTGCGGGGCAAACGGCCGGGCCCACGACCTCTTCAAGGTGGGCCCAGCCGAGGTCGGGCAGGGGCGGACTCTGGCACCCCGCCGGGGCTTCGCCTTGGACCACGGCTGTGCACTATACAGGAAGGCACCGCGAAGCGGGCCTCAGTTCAGGCCATCACGCTCTGTTGACGACACGCGCACGCGGCTCCGCGGAAGATCCGAGTCTACGGTGTTAATCTGCCCGACTGACAGTGCGTTATTATTGGACTCTACAGTCCACGGACCCGAAAGTGAGTGAGTGTCTCCCGATACTGGACTGCGACGGCGGTGACCACCGCGAACCCCAACGGAGTGCCGCGCAGCCACCACCACCGGACCACCGTACTGCGAGCATCCCTGCGCCGGCACCCACACGACCGTGGGGGCACTCGGCCACCGCCCACGCCACGCTCCGTACACACCGGCGAGTGCTGACGCGGCGCCACTAGAGGCGCCACGCGCCGCCACCACCCTGCAGTGAGGCCGCCTGGCGGAGCAGCGACCAGCCAACACAACAACTTACTCACAACGGCCCAGAAACCCCGCGACAAAATGATTGCAGGCTACACGCCTGCAGCAGCGCATGCAGGGGGACGCCCTAGGAAGGCCACTCGTCCATGACACACTTTCCACCGCGGCGATGGACAACGCCGTCGTGGATAGCGCCGCCGCGGATACACAACAACGAGCGGGCCGACATGTCGCGAGACCTGTCCGCAGTGTACGTCTCGCCGCACTCCCTGCTCGCCAAAGTCGCCCCTACTGCGGCCGCCCCTCCCGGCCGTGCTGCTGCGCGTGTCCTGTCCGCAGGCCCAGGAATCATTCGCCCGGGACGGGGCTACGTCCATGTTCGGCCCTCGCTTCACCACCATCGTCATCGGGGACGAGGCGCTGCCCACGTTCGTGTGCGAGCCCGGCACGTGTGAGTGCGACTGGCAGGCCCACGACTTCCACGGTGGGCGACCCGCAGCATGGTAGGCATGCAAGGGAGATTCGCCTGCTGGGCGATGACTTTGTTGCAGCAAGTGGCGCGGTTGGAGCCTGACCTGGTCAACCAAAGGACGTCTGTTGTAGCTGCGCCGCCGCCTGTTCCAGACCAATCTGCCGAGAGCCGGCTCACCAATGGATTGCTTAAGGCCGAAACCATCCAAATATTCCTTTTAAACGGAACTCCAACCCCCCCCCCTTTTCCCCGTCTACCCCCGAGCTGGGCACTGCGGCCTGTGCCAGAGGCCGCGGTCTCGGCCTCGTCGGTTCGCCTACAACAGCGATTTTGAGAGCTCTGCCATCCACCCCCGCACCCTTCCCCAACCACCCCCGCTTAAAGGTGTGCATATCCGTCCGCCGAGCATCCGTTCAATCCGCAGCCTAGCCGTGAGGCTCTCGCCTACCACTGGACCCGCCCAGCTGGGCGGCCGTTTGTCTCTCTCGCACTCCCAACGGCGCCGCTCACTCCGTCTCGCTCGCCCGGCCAGCGGCGGTGTGGCGTGCAGTGTCCGGAGTTTTGGCGAAACCGACTGACGCCTCGCCTTGCCTCGCCATCAACAAGAGGCGTGTGTGTGGTTGGGTGAGGGGAGCGGGGGGGGCGGCCCGGAGGCAGTGAAGACGACGGCTGGCACCGACAGTGTCGTCTGCTGGCTGGGCTGGGCGGGCTGGGTGGCTGGCGCGCAGGCGAGCTGGCCGGGAGCGCCAAGCGCGTCGCCCTCTCGATCGTTACTTGGACAGGCTGCAGACTGATTCCGAGAGTCGGTTTCGTCGGTCTGTCTCTCTCGCACTCATGAGGCCGTAAGAGTGCGTGAGAGACAGCGACGAAAACGACTCTCGGAATCAGTCTGCAGAATGTACTTACTTCATAGTCTCCCGGAGAAAAACATCGTGGATGGCGTCGGTCGTCAGCCCGATGCAAGCTTTCTTGATGTTGTTATATGCAATGTCTTTTTGCATATCCAGGACACTGGGTTGACAGGAGTCAACATGAGGGACCCGGACCCGATACCCCTTCAGATCTCGCCGGGTGTGGCATGCTCCCTTGCACCAAACGTTGCTGGTATTATATTTCCTGCAGCGGAACTCGAGTAACTCACAGTTACGGTGTCTTAAGTTATAGCCGTAGCCATTTTCGGAGTAATACACATCGGATGATTGGTCCCTCGCTCCGAAAACTTTAACGCAAGTCAGAAAAGCCATTCTTCCGAAGCCGACGTCAGCTGACAACTGTCCCTCGTATTCGCGCCGAAACCACAGTCAGCTGTTCGACCAACTGTTTGGGTAGAGGTTACACTAGTGGCCACTAGGAGCGCTAGTAGGATTAGCGCCGCGAGCAGACGCGGCAGACCACGGTGGACAGCCTGACTGCAGTCTCGGACCTTTGGCTTGTAATTGCTTCATGATAGTTCATGATGATTCAATTTTCATGGTTGTATGTTGTTGCTACTCTATTTTGCCAGACCTGACAACTTTATGAACTCAAGATGTATTTGTAATTTTCTGTCATAACTTTTTACTTCTATTTTTCTGATAATCAGTGAAAGCATCCTACGGAGGGTCTGGAGACCTTCGCAGCCCAGCATCCAATGAATATTGGTATGCACTACGGGATGGAAAATGAACATGCCTTTTAACACCAATCGATTGCCCGACAAAAATACATGCATTAAATTAAAGTATGATTGACTCCAGAACATTGCTAGAATGCACTGAGAACACAAGACATGCAGTTGCAGTTAACATTTGAAGTGTTCCTACTTCACCTATTTGTAATGTCCTCTGCCTGACCTATTCCACTGCTGTACTTCTCAGATGAAACGTAGAAATGTTGCAAAGACGACGACAAGATGAATGTGCAGGGATGTGAGGGAAATTGTGACTTCAGATGACTCAGGAAGTCTCGCAGGGCACTTAAGAAAAACCATCATCAAGATTTTCAAAAGCTTTTCAGCTTATATTTGCATCATGCCTTGACTTGAATGCTTTTGTTTTCTTTGTTGGATGTTCCACGCTGCTTGCTTGTGTACTTCTTGCACTGCCTGCCTGCCTGCCTGCCTGCCTGACGGTCTTCAAAGAAAGTCTCTCCAGTTTACCCCGTCGGGATTGTGTCCTGAAAAAGAAAAAGAAACAGAATAAAGAGAGATATAATGCATTCTCCATTTTTCTTTTCCTTAATGTATTTTAAGTTATTACTATAATTACCATTTCTTGGATGGGATGTGTCGGAACCAAACGCACACACCTAGCTGCAGTGCCAGTGTCATAAAATATGACAATTGTGCCTCTAAGTAACATGTCCCATTAAGTCCATTGTAATAGAAGTGCCTGTGGAAAATATTAACAAGTACTTATTAGAAAGCTTGTGAAATATTTCAATCCAGAGGGTAATGGGTTTTAAACTTACCCTTGCCCACAGTTTTGCTTTCATCAATTCACTTGTGGTGAAAACCTTTGACTGAATAGATTCAGAAACTTTGAAGCCAATGTCATTGATTAAGGTTTGTTTGCACCATGCCAATATCTGCAGGACAACCTTTCTGCATTTACAACAGAAGCACTTTTTTCAAAAGGCAAATCATTCTGCAGAGAGTCAAAAACATAGCAAATTTGCAGCATTAAAATTTAATAGCTAAATCTGCAAAATAAGATAATGAGAAAAAAAACAACATACCTTGAGAGCTTTTATGTAATGGCACAACACTTTGACTGGAACATACTTGACTGGTTTGTACGATGTAAGATAAAAACTGCTTTTGCTTTGCTACCACTTCCCTCTCCTGCTTTCAAAATGTGTGTGATCACACAACTGCGTAGGTGCCAGCAAGTCTGTCTTCTTGTCCGCCTCCCTTGCCAGCCAGCAATCCAACCAGTCTCTGTCTTATAGATCATTTGCTTTTGCCTGTTTGATTATATGAAAAGCAGGCATTTAAGATCCAAAATGTTTGGCAAGAGTAAAGACATCCTTGGGGCAAAAATAAAAACAAAACATGCACTAAAAAATAAATACAGTAGAGTCGACTTTTGGAATTCTTCACAACACATTATGGTAAATTACCTGGCAAGCACTCTCTTAAGGAAACAATTATTGCATTTCAACATTATCATGAAGGAAAGAATAAAATCATAAAGCTAAAGGATCATTTTTCTTCTGCTGATTGAGGCCAAGGCATTCAAAACCACATTTTTTATGAACAATATAACCCGAAACTCACTGTAAAGAGAAAGGAGGCAATCAACAACAAAGTTGATGTTTGAAATGTCTCATCTCAAATACTAGTAACTTACCTTGGTAGCTTATCACCTCTCATGGAAACAGTTATTGTATACCAACATCATAATAAGGGGAACTTCATTATAGCTGTTAGGCCTAACAGCTTCAATGATGATGATGATGAGTCAATGACCACCAATGAATTAATCTCAATCTGGTGTCATGACTGATCAATCGTGAATGTAATTGAGGCCTAGGCAATTATTACGCAGGTCAAAGAAAACTGATGAAATCGTTGATAAAAAAAAGATGACACACCATACACTGTAAAAAGAAAGAAAGCAATCAACAACAAAACGGATGAAAAAAAAAATTTCACAGTAAATCATTATGGTAACCTCCTTGAAAAAAAGTACCTGACAAAAACATATTTCATTTTATTCCAATACAATGATCAAGTGTTTGAGCACCCAAACAATTTTCATGGAGCGTAATAGTTCGGAAGCTGTGGAAAATAGCAATCATCAAAAAACTGCCCAATCTCCAAATAAAGCACACTTGAATAGGGAAGTACTCTCAGCTCATGCATTAATAATGAAATGATCACAATGACACCAACATTCGAAAATGTGCTCTCACTAACATACTGATTACCTTTCTTGCATTGAAACATCTGAATATTGGAATACAAGTAAAAGAAACCTGCAATGAAAATATAAAATTAAGGTTCCAGTTAGTTTAATGCAATGAAAATATAAAATTAAGGTTCCAGTTAGTTTAATATCATATGTATCACAAAAATAACACAAGCATACCAATGAAATATGCTGAGCAGTCACACCTCCAGGACAGGCACGATGTGGTCAGGATAGCCAGTGAGCAGCCTTCTATGCAGCCAATGAAATAACTTGGTAGCCCACGCCACCACTACCCACAGAGGAATCTCTTCTAGTGAGCAGATCACAGCAAGGCTGGTCATGAGAAAAATATGATAGGATTAGAACATGACCATAGGTATAAAAATTACATATGCCCCTTTGACTCACCTTGACTGTGGATTCATGAAAGAGCATGCAGAATTTTATACTCTTCCACCAGACATAAGGGCATCACGATAATCCACATCGAACCGTCTTGATGAAGAAAACAAATTTTATCAGGCAGCCCATTGATCAGCCTTTACTGGTGATTGAGGCCATGGCAATCATTGCAAGTTTAAAGGGTAAAGAAAACCATGGTGTAAGATGAATCCGCTCACACTGCAATAAGTATCAAAAGCAATTTAAAAAAAACACCTTGAGTTTCAAATGTTGATGTTGGTCTATGGCAACTTACGGGTGAGGTTTCCCGTTGTGAGCAAAGATTATGAATAAAATACTAATCAAATTCAAGAGCTAATGACTTTCGGAAGATCTCTTTCTGTTCCATGGCTGAAAGTCTGATTGACGTCACAAAATAATATATTGCCCAAAATAAGGAAAAATCCCGATATCCTAGATTTAGAATAAGATGACAGTAACAGGAAAGAATATCAACAAGGTTGGTAAATTAAATGTTTCATCACAAATTGTGATGGTAACTTGAATAATATGAATAGGTGACAACTACTCTATTTGATTCACTTACTCCATTGTGACGGTTGAGTAATTGAGCAAAAGGCAACTGTTCCTCCCTTACAGATGTGCGGGTGGCAAAAACCAATTGGCCTGACTCCATCCCAATGATGAGGCCTTGAGATGATGAAGGTACGAAGGTACTCGTTGAAACCTAAAATCACACACAAAAAAATAAACTAACACAATGGGTGACACAAATCCAAATGCAACAGCCTAGACTTCAACATACACAGACGAATGCCAGAGAAAGTGATACAGTGGTATTACCAGCACCACTGCCATGATTGTATCCAATCTCTCATACTGTTTCATCACCCACTATAAGCAAAGCACATTTTTTTTGATGAGGCAAATTCAATACTTACATGAATCAAATACAGAAAAAGTAATGTAGGAAAATACTCCAATATAGTTGCTGCAGCACCGATGACACTGTCCAGTCATTGTGTCCACATTTACGCTGGGATGATATCTTGTGTGACCTGCAACTAAAGAAACTCACATCACTCACAACAGCCAATAATTAATAAGTTTTTAAAATGTCATGCTTATGGCACCTGAATCACAGAGACAAAATACAATTAGTCTCATTCTAAACCATTGAATTAAAACTTAATCACTATTAATTGACTTTCTGTTACTATTTTGTGATGACTTTGAATAACAAATGATGTAACAAACAATGGCAAAAGAATCACGAATTGAAACAATAAACTGTATCAAAATTCAAATCTGCTTAAGTTCAAAGCTTCAGACAATGGTTTTGATTATACTCACTTCAGTCTAAATTAGTGCATCAATGTTAGTCCAGTTCAGCTAGGGCTGGCAGTCTCTCCACTCAGCACTGCGCCAGTTTGTCTGCAAAGCACCTGTCGCCTGCAACATAAGGACAAAAATTTTTAAGAAAGCTGAAACAAAGGTTTGGAAAACTCAGCTTAATAGTCCCATAAAGCCAGCCCATATATCTTAGCGTTAACTTTGCATCAAATAAGAGAACGCCAAATGTAAGACCGCCTTGGAAATAAAGAAAAGTAACCATATGGAAAACGGTTAAAAAGAAACAGTCATGTATAAGTAGGACATTGTATGAAATAAGTCCTGGAGTATTGAATCAATTATAAAACTGACTTAGTCCCAGTCTTTGT